ATAAATTGTCCTGAAATTATCGAAGTCTTCCAAGTAGTTGTAGAAGCTGCATCGACGCTTAACGGTATAGCAGGGGCTGCGATATAGCGAGGTCGTAAAATTAGTCAATTAAAACGAAGAGAATCGAATTGACAGAAGTACGAGCAGTTAAGGACCAAAAATCTTAGCCAGGATGGTACTGAGAAGTATATGAAATCTGCTGAGGAAATTTAGCTTTGCCGTTCAACCGAGTTTTATGAAACACTAACTACCATTCAGAAATAACTCGAAATATTCCAAATGGTGATTAATATCTGCAAGATTTTCCGTTTATAAGCGAAACACCGTTGGCCAGGTGTCGTAATTCGACAGGAATCCGAAATACGCAGCCCTGCGATAACAATCGGTTCGACGGTTCGATTTACGACCTCGCTGTGTCGTGGCCCGTGCTATAACAGAGTATAACACGAGAGACGATGTTGGTATAGATCTTTTCCATAGAACTACAGGAATTATTACGTACTTTTGGTATACTCGTACTGATGCATGCATACGTTCAATTCCGATACATTTCAAGGCTTCACTCGGATTTATCGAGACTGTCGACGCCCATTTAAGATCCCGATTCCCCTCGAACGCTCTGAAATTCGTGCAACGGCTGTAGGTACGGTTGTTGGAAGGATCAGAAGGACCGGTTTCGTAATGAAAAATCGAACGCCCATCGCTGACACGCGGCGAACACGCGCACATATTTGACACGCATATACACACGTCAGGTGGTGAGCACGAGTATATATTCGTTTGAACAGAAATAAGCAAAAGAAAGAAGAAAATATGGGGGAACACGGCGATTGTTTGCCAAAAAAAAAAAAAAAAGAATCTCGTTCACGTCGCGCTGTTTCGCACGAGCCGCGTGTATTGTGCGCCGAATCGACGCGTTCCGTTCGCTCGGCTGTTTATGCACAACCGTGGAACATTTTTTTTGATAACACTTGCACGTATATACACACGGATAACGTACGTTTTTGCCGTTTTGTCCGTGATATTCGAGTTGCGACGTGGAAATTTCATTTGCTTTCCAAGTGGAACGTTTATTTCGTTCGGTTTACCTATAGAGAAAATTGTACTTCACGATGGGACGACGTTTTGTTGTACTTTTTGGGCGTTGCATGGTAAACACCTTGAATGTTCTCAAAATTAATCGATTTCAAGGTGCATCTTGATTGTGCTTCTTTTAGAACGAGATGTTATTGCCGATGCTCGGGCGAAAGTTCAAAGCACGCGTAAGAAGAAGCATATTTTTGGTTCGTGTCTTCGGTACACGTTGACGAGAGTTAGGATTAAACTGGGAAAAATTTATCGTTGCAATATTAATTAATATTTTTAGTAACGTAGAATATTTTATTTTATAAAACAGTGGTTAAGAAATATGGGTTACTAAATCCGAATTCCACTTGAATTAACCGTGAAACAAACTGGGTGAGTCGCGTAACTTGTTCACCCCGAATCATTTCTAAAGTAGCATCCTGTTAAAAGTGTTTTGTACAGAAACTGCACGGTATCAAAGATATCGAGATGATCTTGCAATTTTTAAATGGTGTGCGTACCTTTCGGTATCAAAATTTAAAGGACCAGTGAATTTTCTGTAAGAAAGTGCCTTTTAAACATAATCATTCAGGATAGATTCAATTGTCTCTGTAAAAAATGTTGCACAGGTTTCAACATTTCGATTTCTCATTGAGAATTCACAATAATTGTTACAGAGAAGCAAAACTCATAAAAAAATTCACTGCTCTTTCAAATTTTGATACAAAAGCATATACGAATTCCATTTAAAAAATTCAACATCACCTTGATATCTTCTGAACGAACAAGTTATTTAAAGAAAAAACCATTTCAGCATCATATGCTCCTTTAGATACCATGCAATTTCTACATAGAAAACTTTTTCGTAAAACCCATACTTCAGAAGTTATTCAGGGTGAACACATTATGCGACTCACCCTATATACGCCTTATGAAAAGTGTCGTAACGTAATTATATAATTTTTCCAATGAAACGAGGGCAAAGAAATTTGGAAAACAACACTATACATACGCAGTGTTTGATAAATATCTGTCTATATGTATTACTGTTTTAGAAAAAAAGGATTACATACCAACTGGTTGTTCAGGGTGCACAAGTTATTAGACTCACCCTGTATAATATAGGATACAGCGCAGCGGAAGTGTAATTTATTCAACACAAATGCTTCTTCTTTTAGACGTGCCATCGACAGATAACGCTGACAACCGTCAGCGACGGAAAAGCGTTCGTTCGATGTATGGTTTTGAAGCGGAACGTCCCAGAAACAGATGGACTTCCGGCACGAACGAATCGGTTAATTGCGTGTGCATTTGAGCCAGATGCCGTGACCACGTGCTGCCAGTGCAGTATAGGGATCGGTGCATTTCATCGTGTACACAAAGTGCAAGCACTCCGCATAACGTCACGCGATCGCTCGAACGTCAAACGTGTGCCAATTTCTTCCTTAATGCGTTTGTGGAGAGGGCAACAGATGGGTGGTACGGTTATGAAGGCTTTGTTATGAATTCAACTTCCTTGTACACATGTGTGATACATGGGTGGTATAGAAAAATGCGACAGACAGTGCAATTTTGCATATTATTTGATTACGCGAGCTATTGTTAGCAGCAGGTACACTTTCGTTCATAAGCGAGCCACTCGGAAGACAAAATGATTAATTCCAGTTTCTTGATATTCCTCCAAAGCACATGCTTAGTGCTTAACTTTTCAGAAATACAACAAATTTTATCAATTCTATTTGACGGAGTTAGTCACTTTGGCTTCTGAGTGGCTCGAGTATCAGGACACTCACTGAAAACGGTGATTAGAAAATTATTCAGTCTCGAATCTTGTGATATAACGAGTACACACACTTTTGCTGATATGTGATACTAGATCTAGGAAAGAAACGTAATATAACGTCTCAGAGACGAGTTCGAAGTTTTATTTCACTGCCACAATTACATACTGGGTGTCGTAATTTTTTAAGATCAAACTTTGTCAGTATATTGTATGGGTATAAGTGAGAAAAAAATGTCGTACGAACATAGATCGTTTGGAGCTTTATTAAAAAGTTATAATAATAATACGAAGGGAATAGTAACGAACTTTCGTATTTCGTATTATTGTTATTACTTTTTAACGAAGCTTCAAACGACCTATGTTCACATTACATTTTTTTCTTACTTATACTCATAGAACATACTGACAAAGTTTGACAAAGTTTGATTGGAAAAAACTCGGACACCCGGTATATCAAGAATTTTGGATGCTCCACCGTTGGGTAACTTCAACTGACAGCAGATGGTACACTATTTCCATGAAAAGAAATCCTAATTTTTCATATAACACCGTAACTATACTGTTTTTATAAAATATTATGCAAAATCTTAACAAACAACATATACATCGTTAAATAAAATAATTATATTAAAGTTAGTTTTAGTAAAGTATAATAGTTTGAGATACTATACACGTCTGTAGTAACGTTTTAAAGACAAATGTCTGTATATAAATGTTGAATCATATTATAATTTCTGTACGAACATAATGGGTGTCCTAATACTTACGAACAAGAGTATATGTTATTAACTTTCATCTCCTATAAATAGTAGATAAATATGCAAGCACTCGTTTTACATTTATACCTTCAGAAATTAACAGTTGCCTATAAAAGAAAATTCTGAAAATTTATCTAGCTTCAGACACCTCAAGGTGGTGTGTCCCCTTAATCACAAATACACTACAAAGCGCATAATCATAAAACAATTGTCGTACGAAGAGTGGTGGCTCGACCATAAGGGCTGCATCCCCTCCAGTATAAAATCAAAGTTCCTCCTTTATTATCGCCGTTATTAAATTTATTAAATTTATTAATAAATATTTAAATTTACTTTTCTACTAAAATTCACCGAATTTTATCATATTTATCTAAAAACCGTTATTTTCACGTTCAGTTTCTTTAATCGTCTAATTTTTCCAATCCACATATCTTTTGCCTACTTTTATTGCTACAGCCCCGCCGTAACAAATTCATACGAGTCGCCACTGCGTACCAATACAATTCAATTTCACAAAAACAAGAATTTCAAAAATTTCATCCCTCCCTCAAACACAACTTTCACCGGTGGCAGTATTGAAATCACCGTTACAAATACAAATCGCAGAAAATTTCGCATCGACAGTACCGGTGCAAAGCCCTTTACGCAAATACCCGAGAATGTATTCCGCAAGAAATATGAATCTCATAAAAGTCAATTTGACCCGTGCATCATCGCGTATTACCGAGCGATCGCGTTGCAACAAAACGTTTTTGGAATCGTTCGTTCTCGAGCGGCGTGTGTGCCATCGGAAAGATACGGGGTTCCACATAAATTAAACACGCGGGGCGGAGCGGAGAGGGGTGGTAACTCTAACCCAATTCGCGCCGGGCGACAGGTAGCATCGAGCAATCGAGTGGCGGATTAACGCAATCGGCGGCGCGCACACAGCGCGCGTTCGAGGGGGCAAAGCGAATCCGCGGAAGTCACATTCGTTCTAGCGATTATCTAGGTAATCGCGGAAGCCGGATTTAGCCGCAGCCAGAGAACTCATACAATTAGTGTGTGTGTGCCGTAAATATTTTTTGGGCATGCGTTTTACAAAATAGATGCTTCCCTGAGACGTTGGTACAAACTTCTTTTATTTTTTTTTTTTTTGTCGTTTTCTTTTACTCGATTATGGTTTCAAATTTTCTCCCTACCACCCCA